TTTCTATGCCTCCGGTTGTGCTGTTCATGGTTGGTTGCTGTGGTTTCTAAGAAGCCCTCCCCTAATCGATGAAGAGAAGAGGGCTGATTTGTGTGGTGCAGTGGGTGTCTTGTGTGGTCTGATTTTTGGGTGATTAGGTAAGAGATTTCTATACAATTTCTTGTTGTGAAGCAAATGATAAGTCTGTTTCTGATTGTATGGTGGGATTTCAGATTGTAGTGTGCTAGGGTTTATGCTTTTTTTAGTGTGATTCAAAGGGGGAGTGGTCCTCAAACAGTGTGGTGAGTTTTCAGGTAGTCGTGGGGTAGGGTTTGTGGTGTAAGGAGTGCAATTTTCAGCAATAATAAGTGCTGAAACCAGTGTGTTAAGTGTGTAGTGTGGTTTAGTGTGAAGTGTGTTGAATTCAGCAATAACAGAATTCAGCTATGGGAGACAGYAGTGATAGCAAGACTAATGTGATGGTCCCTACTGATTACCTGAATGTTCAAATGACCTTCATTAAACTGGATGGAGAAAGTTATGTACATTGGGCTAAATCTGTAGAATTTTTTCTTAAGGCAAAGAAGGTGAATCACATAAGGGAAGAAAAACCCTCCACTGATTCTCATGAGTATGATGACTGGGAACAAGAAGATGCATAGATTATCACATGGTTATGGAACCCAAGATTAGTGTAAATTTCATGTTTCTTAACACTGCCAAAGAAGTGTGGAACCATGCTAAGAAGTTGTATTCGGGTCAAGACAATACAACCAAAGTATATCAGCTGTATCAGGAATACTTTAATCTGCAACAGGGTAATCAGAGTCTTGAGGAGTACTATGCTAGTATGAGAAACATTCGTAATGAGTTGAATGTTTATCGCCCCCTCACTTTTGATGTCAAAATTCAGCAACAACAGAGAGAACAACTGGATGTGACTTGATTTTTGGTGGGGCTGAAATTTGAGTATGAACCGGTGCAGGCTCAGATACTAGGAGGGTTAGCTCTTCCTTCCTTAGAAGAGGTGTTTGCTCGACTTAGGAGGATTTCCATTAAATCTATTGAGAACACTAGTGTTTTCGATAGATCAACCAGCCTTTGCAGTATCGAGGGGCCGTGGTATTAGAGGTGGAGCTCGAGGAGCTCAGTCTGGCCGTGGTGCTAGCAGTGGACCGTTATATGGCAGGAGTGGTGGTGGTGGACCTACATATAACCGTGGTGGTGGTCGTACTAGAGGTAGAGATTTAGGGGGGGCCCGTGGCAGAGGACGTAGTTCTGGTCCAAGGAGGTGTACACACTGTGGTATGGATGGACATACCATTAATTATTGCTATGACTTGCATGATCTACCCTCAACTTGGGCCAATCATGCCATGACTAGTGACAATAGCTTCAGACAGGAGAGTCGTTCAGCAGATCAAATACTTCCTACAACCATAGATGTTCCCGGGAAGGAGATGATGAGTGTTCCCTGTGATGAATATGAGAGGTTTGTCCAGGCCACATCTCAGCATAACACAACCACTCTTGCACACTTAGGTATGGCTTGTCTGGCACCCACACCCAATCCCTGGATTATTGACTCTAGAGCCTCCGATCACATGAATGGAAGTCCAGGTGTGTTTTCTTCTCTCTCTCATTGCTCAACATCACAATCTGTTACCCTTGCTAATGGCTCCACATCCTCTATTTGTGGTGTTGGCAATGTTAACATGACCCCCTTACTTTTATCCTCAGTTTTGTATGTCCCTAAATTTCCGTTTAACCTTATGTCAGTTAGTAAGTTGACCAAGTCTCTTAATTGCTCCATTACTTTTTACCCTTCTTCATGTGTTTTTCAGGATTTCAAGACGGGGATGAAGACTGGTGGATTGTATTATCTTGACGGTGGTGGAAGAACGTCAACAACTCTCCAGTCATCTCTCTCTCCTCTCCAGTGGCACTGTTGATTTGGTTATCATTCGCTGAAAGTTTTGAAGTCTTTGGTTCCTTCGTTGAGTCATCTTTCTGTTTTGGATTGTGAGTCGTGTTAGTTGGGGAAACATCACCGTGTTCCCTTTAGTCCTAGGGTTGATAACCGTATGTCGAGTCCTTTTTCGTTGGTTCATTCAGATGTTTGGGGCCCTTATAAAGTAATGTCATACAGTCGATATAAATATTTTGTCATTTTTGTTGATGATTATTCAAGGATGATGTGACTCTATTTAATGAAAGAAATGAATGAATTGTTTACCATTTTCCAAAAATTTTATGTTGAGATTCGCAACCAATTTGGTGTTCACATTAAAATTTTTCATTCCGATAATGGCTGTGAATATTTCTTTTCATCATTTCAAGAATACTTGGACCAACATGGCATTATCCATCAGACATCATGTATTTACATCCCACAACAAAATGGGGTGGCTGAGAGAAAGAATCGTCATCTTTTGGAAACAACTCGATCTCTCATTCATCACATGAATGTCCCCAAACCCTTTTGGAGTGATGTGGTGCTTACTTCTTGCTTCTTGATTAACCGGATGCTCACATCTATCCTTGATGGTCATTCTCCATTCACCACTTTGTTTCATGCCTGGTCTCCGTTTCCTCTTTCTCCTTGGGTTTTTGGGTGTGTCTGCTTCGTCCATAATCTGGGGCCAGGAAGGGACAAGTTAGATGCACGATTCATTAAGTGCATCTTCCTTGGCTATTCCAAGACACAAAAAAGGGTATAAGTGTTATCGTCCAAACTCTCGACGTTCCTTTGTGAGTGTTGATGTTACATTCTTTGAGTCTATTCCGTTTTTCTTGGGGTCTGGTGATGTTTCTTCCTCATCACCTCCTTCCCTTCCTCTCCCAGTTGCGGATTCTGTTCCTCTTGTTCCAGTTGTGACCAAGTCCTTGCCTTCGGTGCCATCACCTGTTGAACGACCACCTATCCGTCAAGTGTATACACATCGCCCACATGTACCGGCTCCTCCTCTAGCTCCATCATCGTCGACAGATTCGGCAATTGTCCCCACACCAGCCCCACCCTCGGTATTTGACCTTGATCTTCCCATTGCTTTACGAAAAGGTAAACATAGTTGTACCCTTCATTTTATTTCTAATTATGTTTCTCTCACTCACCTTTCTGCTTCTCATCGCTAGTTTATCTCCTTGTTATCCTCTGTTGTTGTCCCTAAGGATGTCCAGGAAGCCCTTGCCTCTCTAGGATGGCGCCGTGCAATGGAAGAAGAACTCTCAGCTCTAATTCATAATCATATATGGGACCTCACCACTCTTCCTCCTGGTAAGCAGATTGTTGGTTGTAAGTGGGTTTATATTGTTAAATACTTATCTGATGGTAGTGTAGAGTGACTGAAAGCTAGACTGGTTGGGTACTCCCAAACCTATGGTATTGACTACACAGAGACCTCCCCGGTTACTAAGATTGGTTCAGTTTGTGTTGTGATCTCTTTTGCTGCTATGTATGATTGGCCCTTCTATCAGCTTGATATCAAGAATGCTTTCTTGCATGGTGATTTGCTCGAGGAGGTCTATATGGAGCAACCACCGGGGTTTGTTACTCAGGGGGAGGATGGTAAGGTGTGCAGACTAAAGAAGGCCATTTATGGGCTTAAATAGTATCTTCGAGCATGGTTTGGTAGGTTTGGTGAGGTGGTAAAGAAGTTTGGTATGAAACAGTGCCAAGTTGATCATTCAGTCTTTAGTCGTGACTCTTAGGCAGGAAATATCCTATTGGTGGTGTATGTAGATGATATTGTTATTACTGGAAATGATAAAATGGGCATTGATAGGTTGAAGTCTTTTCTGCATGAACATTTTTAGACAAAGGACCTTGGTAAATTGAAATATTTCTTGGGGATAGAAGTAGCAAGGTCTAAGCATGGTATTAACTTGTGTCAAAGGAAAATGTTCCCGATCTGCTGGAAGAAACAAGTTTGTTAGGTGCTAAACTAGCTGAAACACCTATGGAAACAAACACTAAGCTGAGTAGTGATATGGGTGAAGTGTTTGAAGACCCTGGCAGATACCGGCAACTTGTAGGTAAACTGAACTACCTAACCATTACTCAGCCAGACATTTCATTTGTAATTAGTGTGGTAAGTCAGTTCATGCAGAAACCTCTGGTTCCACATTGGGATGCGGTTCCAAGGATTGTGAGGTATTTAAAGGGGGTTCGTGGTCGTGGTTTGATATACAAAAGTGGTGGAAAACTTGAAATAGAAGGATATACTGATGCTGATTGGGCCGGTTCTATGTCTGATAGGAGATCTACCACAAGCTATTGCACTTTTCTTGGGGGTAATCTGGTGACATGGAAAAGTAAGAAGCAGACAGTTGTGGCAAGAAGCAGTGCAGAGGCAGAATATAGAGCTATGACACATACTATTTGTGAATTAGTGTGGCTAAGGAACCTTCTACAGGACATGGGATACATTGTTGACACTCCAATGAAGCTCTACTTTGACAATCAGGCTACAATTCATATTTCTTCTAATCTGGTGTTTCATGAAAGAACCAAGCACATAGAGGTTGACTATCACTTTGTGAGAGAGAAGGTGCCGAGTGGAGTGGTAGATACTGCATATGTTAACATAGGGAACCGGTGGGCAGATTTGTTTACTAAAGGGTTGAGTTGGGGAAGAGTGGACTACATGTGTAACAAGCTAGGATTATATGATATATATTCTCCAGCTTGAGTGGGAGTGTTAGTGTCGAGTATGTAGGGGTATTTCTGTTTTTATGCTTATGTTTAGGTTGCTGATATGTAAGATTATGTTAGATCTAGTGTTCCTCACTTAAGTAGGGGCACATGTGTCTTTTCCACAGTATTAGTAATATAAATCAAATCTGGCCGAATGGGAGGGGGGATTTTTTCCTCTCATTCGAACCAGACTTTTCTCTCCCTTTCTTCTCTTCTCTTTTTCTTCTTTCTCTCTCTCTTTCTCTTCCTTCTTCTTGACTGTTATCAGCCTAACAGGATTCAAGGGCAGGCCGAATCCTAATAGCATCCTTTTCTCTTTTTACAGGAATGTTGCTGGTTTTGCAGCTTTTGTTGCTGGCATGGCATGTTTGGTTGGGATTGACTTCAGTGCAAAGCTTTTGGCTTCCCTTGCAAAATCTTTCGAGGTAATCGTTTTTTTTAATTATTCTATGATTGGTTCTTTTGAAGTAAGTGTTGTCCATTTTTTTCCCTTGAGTGGCTAGTCTTCAAAGTATAATTGCAATTTACAAGCTTAAAGAAGGTTTACATCATTAAACTAATAAAACCAATTTTAGTTACTTTTCTTTTACACTTGTCATATTATTTGTTGGTTTAGGTCTCTAATTTTAGTTTGTATATCTGATTCAAAATTTTTTATTTATATTTCTGATGTGGAGAATCTCATTTTGCCTGTAGAATTCGCAGGTCTCAGTTTTTGAAGAATTTAGTCTCATAACTATTTGATTCTGTTTTCAGGATGCATATATGAAAGAAGATAGCATTTCCTTGAGAAACCTAACCCTTCTGCTCTCTTATCTGTGCATATTTGGTGTTTGCTCAAGGTTGGTAGCTTGCATAATACCAGAAGCTTAACCTTTATAGTGGTAACATTTTTAGTGGTGTAGTTTCAGACAAGTTCACCAAGACCATGTCTTTTGTAGTGGTCAAAGTTTTGCTAATTTGTAACCTGAAGTGCTTATTAAAAGGACATAATATTGTAGAAAATGCAATGTCCTAATGTGAACATATAGAATATAATGTTCCATAGCATCTATTACCATTTTTCAGCTTTTTGCATTCCTCTACCCTAGTTGCAATTTTGAATTGAATGGCTGAACTTCAAACATGAACCATGTTCATCTATCTCAACATAGACTCTATGTCTAGAGCTTTTATTAGCATTTATTTTCTCTTAATCTTTTCCTTAATTTTCCTTGACTCATAGGCATCTTATTTCGGCAATATCTCCTGGGATAAGGGAAAAAGTACATAGTTGTATTGAGTATCAGTTAACTTGTATACTGTTTTTGCAAGTTCTTTCTCTAAAGGTTGACATTTTGGTAATGATATCCAGTGATTTGATATATGATTTTCTGATCATGTTGAGCAAGCGTTTGATGGAGATGGATGTTTCCACTATCCTGACAATTCTACAGTGTAAGGCCTCCTTTTGTTTGTCTTTAGCTTATGTGAAACTTATTTATCTTAGTAATTGTTGACTCTCTTGTGCGTAATAAAAATGACAGTTCTCTCCACTTTTAGTATTTAGTGTTGAGCAACACCTGAGGCAAAAATCTCCTATATCGTGTGATAGAATGATAGAAGAATGCATTTACCTGTACAGGCATACTAGCAACAAATTTCCAATATTTGAGAGAGTTCATATCTGAGTTGTAATTTAGGTTACATTGACTATAATTATTCAATAGGTTGTGGAATGAAACTAAGGGGTGATGATCCAGCTTCCATGAAAGATTTTATATCGAGTGTTCAGAATAGAGTGAATGAGTTGAAATTCCCTTCTGGAAGTACAACACCTGGCCAGCCAAAGATAAACAATAAAAGGGTATGCTTTTATTTTATGTTTATTGTGTATCTGATGTGCTTATTTTGCATTTAGTTTAACGTATTCTTATCTGGTAATCCTTGCAGATGGAATTCATGCTTGAGACCATAATTGATATCAAAAACAACAAAAGAAGAGTTAAAGAGGATCCTGTTCCACATACACGGATAAAGAAGTGGCTACAGAAGGTCTTCTTTTCCTTTACATCAGCAAACACTTCTTGGCTTAATTGGGTTGGCTTGCTGGAAACTGATAGTAACTAGAGAAGATGTTGAAATTATTGAAAAGAAGAGTATAAAAAGGAAAGAAAAAGAAGGGGAAAACAGATAGAAAGATGGGATCTGGTGTAATTGACAGAATAGGGTAGAAATGGTAGTTAACTTAAGATTTTCCAAGTGGGATCTGGTTTGGTCCCTTTGGAGGTGTGACATGAATTTTAAAACACTAGTTATACTAGTCATAAGTAAACAAATTAGATGGGAGAGCTACACTTCTTTCCTCCCCTTCCCATAAAACTAAGAGGCCAGGTCATACCACTGGATGCTGCTTAGCAGCTAATTTGCACTATTAACTTATGTGGTGTTTGGAATGGCTACATTGTGTTTCCATTGTGTTTGTACTTGAAGTCCAGCTAGGCGCCATTTAGGCATTTTGGTTTTACCTGCTAGAAATCCTATTTGGTTGGGAAAAATCATGTAGAAGTGTTTGTTATGTGCATAGAGGTGTTGAGGGATGCTTCAAAAGTTGTCCCCCCCGGAAAAGGGGCATTTCCACTTCCACTTAAAGTGTCCTATGTGGTGCCTAGTGGAGCCTAGTAGCATCACAATAATAAATTACTATGCATTGTTTCATGTGCCACAACAGCTCAATCTCCCAAAATCCAATGCAAAAAACCTAGTCATTCAAACTTGAAACAAAGCCATGCCAAACACCCACTTAGTCAGTTCAATGTCTTAATATTGTTTCTTTATCAGTCAAGTCTATTTATATTAACTGCTTCATGCTTCATTTGCACTTTGCAGTTAAGAGTGGAAGATATTTTACTTCGAGGGCTCAAATGGAGCAAGCTGCTTGATCCCCACAAAAAGGGCCAGTGGTGGTTATCAGGGGATGTTGTCTCTGAAACAGATAACATCAAAGAGGTTGCCAGCACCATAGACCGTGAGGTTCTGGAAGCCCAAAAATTGCTGCAGATTGCAGCTGCACAAAGAATGAATACAGATACCAGGAGGGCGATTTTTTGTATAATAATGAGTGGTGAAGATTACATGGATGCTTATGAGAAGCTTCTAGGTTTGGGTTTACCTGGGAAACAGGTTAGCATATTTAAACTTCTCTTATTTATTTTGTTTTTCTTCTATATTTTGTAATATATTATGGCATAAATATGCAGGATAGAGAGATCATGAGAGTCCTTGTTGATTGCTGTTTACAAGAGAAAGTATTCAATAAGTACTACACTGCTTTGGCATCTAAATTGTGTAGCCTTGACAAGAACCACAAGTTCACTTTACAGGTATTCTTCCTTTGTTGGCTATATGGGAATACTCATGGTCATATCATTTATGAAATAAAATTAGGATTATAATTTGCTAGGTATCTAGAGATTATATCTAATCCTTGATTTCCTAGGTCAAATTCATTGGTGCATATGAAGTATGTATAAAGCAAAATATCTGTTCTGGTTTAGCATGGAGTCAAGTTTCTCTGCAAGATCTAATCAAGTATATGGTCAATGCTTCAAAATTAGAATTTTAGTCTGAGGCAAAATACAAAGGATATGGATATTCATCAGAAAAAAAAAAAATAATAATTATAAAGAAAACTGTTCTGGTGTACCATGGAATAAGATTTTTGAAGGTTCCAATCAAATATATTTTGGTATCTTTAGGATTAGGGAGTTAGAATTGCAAACATGCCAACTGACTAGTTAGTAAGGTCTCTTGCTGAGTGTAGTGGATACTTGGCATCGAATTCTGCCTGCACCAGGGTTGGGGGTTATGGGTTTGGGGAATGGGAAAACCCCCCATTGTGTAGCCCCATGAATGAAGTAATAAAAGAATTAGAATGAAGCAAATTAAACAAATAGGAAGCATGGGTAGAAATATTTTCATGTTTTTGGATCTGGGTTCATGGTTTAGGGGGTTTGATGTCACTAATGCAAAATACCTGTTCTGGTATAGCATGGAATAAGGTTTCTGCAGGTTCCAATCAAATGTATATCGGTAGCTTTAGAATTAGAAAGTTAGAATCACAAAAGTGCCAACTAGCTAGTTTGTGAGCTCTCTTTGCTGGTTGTAGCAGAGACTTGGGGTTGAATCCCACCTGTAACAGGGTTGGGAGGGGGTAGTGTATATCAAAGAAGACAGAAATATAGAATGACACCTCTTGAGGAAAGGTCGGAAGTGGAAAATGAAGAGGAAGAAGAAGAGGTGATGTTGGATGAGACCCATGAGGTTGAAAGGAAAATTGATTTGGAATCAGTTATCAATAAGGAGGTGGAGGTGAGTAAAAGGTTGGGTTTATTCTCCTTGGGTGGAGAGGATTTTGCAAGGGAAGCTTTTATGGAAGTGGAAGAAAACTCCAAGGGGCCTTTGAAGGACAACAAGATGGATATATTGAGTTCTGATGTTCCTATTATTGGGGTGGCGGGGGGGGGGGGGGGGGGGGGGGGGGGGTGGGGCGGGGGGGGGGGGGGGGGGGGGCGGGGATCTTCAAAGTGAAGCACAGACATCACAAAGTAATGGAGTTTTTCGGGTAGCGAAGCAAGTGTTAGAGAAAAATGCGGACCTAGAGCTTGAAAGGATTAATGAGATTCATGGAGAAAGGAAGAATTGTGAAGATCCTCCTAATGCGGTTAAAAGGTTCAGACATAAAAAGCTTAACAGATCTGTGCCAGTGCCAAAGGTGTTTGCTAGACTAGACTGAAGGGGGACTTTCTTGGGGTTGGAAGTAACAAGAGGATCAAGAATACAAAAAGAGTTGTCAAGAAAAAGAAAGAGACTTCTAACTCTCCCGATGGAGGATAGGGGAGGGTGTGTTTGGTGTCTTTGGGTAGGTGGTTAAATTAGTGAGGTTGTTTCTGTTTTGATCTTTGGGAAGGTGAGTTGGGGGGTCAAGTCTGTGGTTTGGTTGTGATCAATTTTGGTAGTTTGGGTGTGGAGTGGGGTGTTTTGAGTTTCGCTTGGGATTGGGTTTGGTGTGGGGTGTTTGGAACTGGGTTCATGGTTTAGTAGGTTTGATGTCACTTTGGGTTTGGTAGCATTCCAGGTTTATGCATTGAACCTGTTGCCTTGACCAGTTTTGATGCTTGGGCAAGAAGACGACTTTTCATAAAGAACTACAACTAACTACAACTTCCAGTATATGTTCCATGATGACATGGAACATGTTGATAGCTTCATCTAGTCCTGTGAGGCAAGAATAATACTTCTGACTTGCTGCAGAAAAGAAGGCCTAATATGTGCCTCTCTCCTCACATGTTGTGCTATGCAAAGGTTGTGGTGAAACCATCCACCATTTATTGATATCATGTCCTTTTGTGCTTTGTGCTTGGGAGTATTTCTATTCTCTCTTTGGTTGCAGGTGGGTTCCCCCTCAAGATGTGGTATGCTTATTCAATCCCAACATTTTGAGACAGCCAAAAATGAGAGGAAGAGTTATGTGGATGGCAGTAAGGGCAGCAGTGGTGTGGACTTTGTGGGAAGAAAGAAACCAAAGAATTTTCAATTATAACAGTAATACAGTATATCTAAGGAGGAGCTTATAGAAGGTATAAAGGCAAGATCTGCACATTGGGTAAAAGCTTTCGGACTTTTTCGTTGTTTCTCAGTTAATGAGATAGTAAGATCTTGGTTAGAAGTGGCACAAATAGATAGAAGGAGAGACATTGTATGGATTGGAAAGCCTCAACTGAAAACAAATTGAAACTGAATTTTAATGGTAATTCTATGGGAAACTCAGGAAGAAGGGCAGGCATGAAGGGAGTATTCAGAAATCATTTGGGTATGATGGTGGGCTTATTCAGGATCAATTGGCTTTGGTCACTTAGTTAGAGCTAAAACTTGGGCATTGCTACAAGGACTGAGGCTAGCTAAACAGCTTGGTTTCAAAGATTTGGAAGTGGAAGGGGACTCAAAATTGGTCATATCTTGGACAAGGCAATTAATTTTAGCACCTTGGGGTTAAGGAACACTTTCAGGGAGATAGATTACCTATCAAGAGAACTCAACATCAACTTTAGCTGGATTATAAGAACTACAAATGGGATGGCAGATGTTTTAGCAAAATAGGAGGTTAACAGACATACTTTGTTTTGGGCAAAAGTGTAAATCTGTATACCTGGGTTGGTTGGAGTGCTCCAATGTTGTACCAAACTTGATTAATATCTTAATCTAATGGATCTCTTCTGCTGATGAAAAAAATAAAAAGGTACTTTCAGAAAAGTCAAAAGTGCAAAAGAGTAAATTTGGGATCTCCAGATCTCACCAAGATGCTCTCAATGTAACTCCCTTCAGCACATTTCCTGTTAGACTACTCGTAGCTTCCATTGTGCAAATAAAAAATGTGAAGACAAAGGTTCTGGATGCTGAACTGTTAGATTCTGGGAGGATCCGTGGTGGGGAGAGCTGCTTCTTTGCCAGATATTCCCTAAACTCTTTTTTCTTTTTGTTTACCTGAGAGAAAGGTAACTGATTTGATTATGAATAAAAAGGACATGTACATTAGAGGATGTACAAAGTGGACAATAGTTGTTGACTGACAGCTTCATTGGAGGGATCTGACTATGAACAGGAAGGAGGGTAACAACATGATGGGATTTTCCCAAGACTATTACATTTTACAATAGTAGGGTATCCCCAAATTATAAAAAAGGGAAAAATACTAGAGTTACCCCCATCTCTTTCTGCTTTTGCACTCCAATTGGGTTTCATCATGGGGTTTTGGACTCTTAGGGGACTGTATTTGGGAATTGAAGTTTAGGATGGAAAATGAACCATGGAAATGCTTCTTTCTGAATTTTACTTTATAATAGAGCCTTCTTTATTCATATGACAATTTTCCACATATCCTACGATTTTGTTGGTGGATTTTTGAACTGGTAAGAGGGTTAACCTGAGGATGACCTCATAATCAATAAGATCATGGTTTAGCTATTTAAGGTTCTATTATGAATGGTGGTGTTAGTGTTAGTGATCTCCCCTCATTCCCAGTTGGGGTTACCATAACCTAGGTGAGCATAAAAGGGGAGAGAAACAAGTATATTCAATATTACATGCATAATCAAGTTTTCTTAGGTTGACAATTTCTTAATAAACCACCAAGGCCATGGGACATGGCAAAAATTAAGTTTACAATCTAATTATAACCAAAAAGCATCTTGTAAATTGAAATTGGCACAATAAAAGAGAAAACTAGGCAATAACATGAGAAAATCAGGGCATTCAAGTTCATTCTTGTGCTTTCCCCTAGATATTAACTGGATAGGACATACTTTCTCCATTGCTTCCCTTAGGCATAGTTTGGGTACTCAAGACAGTAGGGGTGATCATTCTTGGCCCAACCAGGCCCAACCCTCAAATTTTCGGGCTGGGCTTGGGCTCAACACTTCAGGCCCACCTGGGCTTGCAATTATATCTATATTATATATTATTATCTATTATATATAGAAATATATTTTATTTTATATTAAATGTTTTATATAAAAATTTAATATATATTATACATATTCGTGTGTTGAGTCTGTTGACACACTATTCATGAGTGTTGTCCCAACTCAAATAGGAGAGAATAACTTGTTCTCTAGGTTTTTTATCCATTTATAGAGGAAGACAAGGCCCTCATTCCTACTCCTAAGCAATGTGGGACTTGGAGCAACACTCATTGTTGAGTGTTATAAATACACGTGCACATACACATACACTCAATAGTGAGTGTTGTCCCAAGTCCCACATTGCCTAGGAATTAGAATGAAGGATTTGCCTTCCTCTATAAAAGGACTTGAAATTAGTTCTTGATGATATTTGAGTGGACAAACGGTGACTGGTCAATCTTCTTCCTTTTTGCTTCTCTCTTTAACTCCTTACTCTTCTACACTTTTTGCATAAAATGACTTATCAAAGCCTCACATTTTTTCTGTATTTTCTCAGATTTGGGACTTTAATGAGTTAGAATAGATTAGGGAAAGATTTTAATTCAGAGGACAAAAGGGTGTGGTCAGCAGATCGAAAAGCTCAGTTCACAGTGAAGTCTTTTTATAATAAATTAACAAAAGCCCCAGGGCCGGATGAGTTCACAATGGCTTTTTATCAGGACTATTGGGATATTTTGAAAGATGATCTTTTGCGGGTGTTTGAGGAGTTTTTCAGGAGAGGAATTGCTAATCCGGGTGTGAACTCTACATTTATAGCCTTAATTCCAAAAAAGAAAGATGC